TATGCAATTAAATTCCACGAAAATTCAAAAAATTCGTTTTGACACATTGCTTTCCAGTGTGGGACAACAACATTCATGTTGCATCATAGTTCCTGTCACTTACTATGAAAAATAAACGTAAGAAGCTGTTAGCTGAGTGATTTTTTTACTTTTAGTAGAAAAAGTGGCAGTGAAATATTTTCGATTCTTTCTTTCACTTCACTTGTACAAAGAGATACGCGCTGCGCCGTAGCAATCACCGAAGCAGAAATTCGGTCCTATATGCCGCCATGCCCAATGTTCAAAAAGCGCACATTTCGTTCGTTTTTGTGTAGCTTGCTGTAATTAGATATTTGAAAGAAAGAAATATATGACTCCTTTTTCGTATCCACAATGCCAGAATACCATATTTTTGCCAATAGCAGCACATGCTTAAAAACAAATTGCGACCTAGAGTTTGGATGCGGATGTGAATGTGGCTGTGGGTTGTCTCTTAATCGTCACCCATACCCTCAAGTTCATAAAAAGAAACCGATCCAAAAACATACTCATCCACATCCTAAATCATGGGGATCTTTTTTTCCGTTACACTCGTACTCCAAACCCTCATATTCGTACCATAGATATTTACACCCATATACATGCAACAAGCTGTCAGCACCTGCACCCAGAAAACCTCACAATGTGCATTCCCCATACACCGTCGGTATCCGCACCCAGACGCATGTTCCTTGTGTATCTGCAGCCTCATTCACGTTCAGACACAGGTATCAAGATGTCCACACCTGCATCAAGATAAATATACCCTAGCTATCCGCAAACACACCCACACTGTCAAACATAAGGGTTATGAATTTGCAATGAGACATAAACCAAGGTGGGAAAAGTGTACTTGCGCACTTCTTTGTAGTTCTTCGTATAATCCAGGTACTCTTGAAGTACTGAGTTACGTTTTTACCTATTGGCATAAACCTTCTTTTCTGTTTTTTGAAATATCTGATACACACTTTCTCCAAATTATAAACGGAAAAACCGCTTATAATTCTGCGATTTTTTTCAGCACACACCCCATAGCCAATTTTGGGCTTTTATTTCCAATCTGCGTTGCATTTTACATTGTTTTAAATCTTGATTCCAATCGTACTGAATAAATAATTCAACCTCTACAACACTGGCAACTTTGTCTTACGTATAAATTTTTGGCAACAGCGTAAAGTTAATGAGATGAACGCCTACTCAATCGAACAGCTTCAAACGTATGAAAACACACGAAAAAGTTGTAGAGAACTTTTAGCAACTGATTTGATGAAATTCGAAATACGTTACAATATCTACGCAAAATGCTACATCTCTCAATGTTCTATACAATGGAATACTAGCGCTTAGGAACCAAAATTTACCTTTATCTGTCCATCTGTTCGCATTGGTATTGGTGGGTTTGTTACGAAGTAACTATTTCTGTCGTACAAGTGACAATTTTTATGGTTAAAACAGGGCCGTCAACTGTACTCCACAAAAACATGTACCCCATTCGAACCTTTTCCGTTTACACTCTAAGTGAATCATATTTTAGCTAGTATCGTTTTTTGTAGAGATGAAAAGCATACACACTATTGACTGACTCATGACCAGTGACTGTAGACAATCAATGTATCCTTTTAGATTTGTATTTTCTCTTCTTTCTGACTTCTCAATTTCACGTTCAAAGTTAAAAGGATTTCTTCATAGATTCTGCGAAGGGAAAGAAACTTTAATCCACAATTCAACAATCCATGCAAATTCAAAATGTCAATCACGAAAATTATTGTGAAAAGGAAAGCCTTCGTCACTCCCAGAGTACTTGACTTCACAAGAAGTCACGAGAATCAATCTTATAGACAAATGACATCTAAAAAATACACGGTGGTCGAGAAAATCGAAAAGCATTTTCAAAATGATGACTTGATCATGATACTCGAAAGTTAACTGGATAACCAACAAAATCCACTGAAATCGAAAAATATTCGATCGGAAACTTAATAATCTCAGATCCTTTATTCTCCCCTTGCATAATTGGCTTTTTATCTTGTTTTCGAATGGTTCCGTTTATTCATCTTTGTTGATCTTCGAAAGACTGAAAAATCACGTCTGTCTGTAGTTTTAACTAAATAAGTAACGCCCACTCCACTGACTCAGGTGTCGAGAGTGTAGAAAAAACAAAGTAACAGCTGAGCACAGACCCGAAAACACAACAATATGAGTGGAAAATGTCTCACACAAGGAAAGTTAAATATGGTCTCTCGTTTCCTAAAAAATGCATATTTTGCCAGCCGATTTTTACCGTCGTATCCTTGAATTTTCAAAACAATTATGGGCCCCACGGATGTATTCCATTTGGAAAGAAAATACATCTCTCGTTTATCTCATTCGACATCTTTGGAGTTGGCAGCTTTTGGCTGAAAGCACTTTTTTTCAGTACACTTGACAATTCCCGTTGCAAAAATGAGCATTTTTGTGGTACAAACCATGCACGAATCCATGGGAAGGTTTCGCAAATAGTCCCCTTCTAGTGACATATCCAGTGAATCTGGACTGACTGAGCCCTCCGACGTAACTTTAAGTCCAGGATTCCATAGTTTCTGAGCCATGCGTTTTAGTAGCTAGACGAGACTGAAACTCTTTCTGAAAGATGTTTGTCCCCACTTCCCATCCTTCAACCCGAAATCGTAGTTCGACCACTACGCTCCTTCTTGTTTTTCGGTTTGATCTTGGATGTGTTGTTTTTAATGATTCTCCGTCTAAATTAGTTTTTCCCTCTCATTTATGTCCCATCTTTAATTATTCGATCCTCTTCTCTCTGCGTCTCTGTTTAACGCTTCCACCCAACCGTTGGCTAGCTGCAGGATCTCTGTCCATGTATTCGTGCGCGTGAGCCCTGTAAGTCTAGGGTTCAGCGAATCAATTCTTGATTCACGTTACTTGTAACTTATTAGGCTTTGGGACGAATATGTGAGGGGTGCTAGTCGTAAAATGCAGAAACTCCAGAAGAAAACCCTTTCTAACTGACCCGAATCCTTGTGTGCGATTGATTCAAAGTAGTGCAAACTTTTCAAATGGTTGATTCTATACATTCACTTTTTTTATTCTTCCTAGAAAAAAAAACTTGAAGTTGTACTAAGGTAGTGAAAGTATATAGCAACGAAATTCCTCATGTGGATCTCACACATGTTTGTGAAGCAAATAGGGATTTTTAGTTTCAAGTCGAAGTTTTTCGGCTCCCCCTCCCCTCCCCACTTTCAATTACAGATCTTAGTAACCTCCTCCCAAAAATCGTTATTGAAGAGGTTCAGAAATAAACAAGAGATATCCTTACTATGGTGATTTTCCAGCAGTGTCCAAGTTCCCAGGCGTCTGGAATTCGTTGGGAATTGGGAACTCAAAAATGAATGAACAGGAATAAGTGATGGTAAACCAAAGCATAGCAACGTTATGAGGGACTCCAAGGAACTCTGGGAAGTCAGGGGGGTCACAAATATGAGGGGAATAAGAGCCTGGACTCAATTCGTTCGGGTTGAACCATCAGTATATCGAGTAATATACTTAATTGGCATTATGCCTAATCGCAATAATGAACATAATTGAGTGAGGGCATATCCATTGACATAATAGATATATGAGGTCACGGTGGTCAAATGCGCAAATTTTCTGTTCGTTTAAGAATGAGTTGCGATATTTTAGAGTGATTGTTTATTGTGCTTTGATAAATTTATACGTTGAATAAAAGTGGAATTTGGGAGCTTCGGATCGTTCGGCTTCGGCGATCGTGGGATATAGGAGAATCATAATTGATGGTATCGTTCAGTTTTCAAGTGACGAAAATATTCTATCTATGAAACGTTTCTGGGTGCTTATATGGGCAGATAAATAGGTAAATCAGGTTATCTATCTATCCAGACAGCAATTGATAGCGGACAGTATCTAAATATATATCTGTTTGTTTAACTATTCCTCCAATGGTGTTGTAACTATTGATAATATTCACTTTTACAGAGGAACACACAAGTCTAGTTATGACAGTCAGTGTCGCGACAGGACTGACAGCCTCAACGGGACTCATAATAGAACAAATTGACATTGACGTTCAATTTGCCGTATTTAAGTCTAGAATCCATGTGCTTGAGGCAAAATGAATTTGGTGGTAACTTGTGAAACCTATTGAATCGGTTGGTGATAATCAGAGAAAGGCGCGAGTAATCTCTTGTAGTGGAAAGTTGTCAAGTATGTGGGAAATTATGTTATCATTACTAAGTCAAAGATATGGTTGTTCTATAACACACCAAGTTGGGTGTGGGTGAATCAGTTAGAATAGCAACATCCACACCAATCCCTCACCCACATCCACACCCTCTAGGAAAAAAGATGAACGCTCAACATTGCTCTCGCTGTGGCGACTGCCATAAAAGCATGAATTTCAACCTTCAAAGTAGTAAAAGCGGTGATGTTACGAACGAACATCCCGTAGCGAAGATTTTCATCTTCGAGACCACATCACATCTCTTAACTTATGAAAAGCATACGAAATTCTTGCACGATAACTTACCTGATAAAGCGTGCTTCATGCAATCAGAATTTCATTGATAACGTCAGGGAAAGAACACCATGCATTTTCGCACGTGAATCTTTTCTTTAGAGAAAAATGTTTTCATTTCATATGCTTTCAGCTCAAAATTGATCCTATCGACCGGTCAGGAAATCGTTGCTTCCCCAGAGTTCCTTGTAGTCCCAGAGTTCCTTGTAGTCCCAGAGTTCCTTGTAGTCCCAGAGTTCCTTGTAGTCCCAGAGTTCCTTGATTTCCCTGACTTCCCTGAGCTGCTTCACGCGTTGTGGTTTCACATCGCTCGTTGTCGCTTACTTATTTTTGAGTTCTCAATTCCCGAAGAGTTCCCGACTCCTGGGAACTTGACTACGTCTCACCAAGAAATTTTATTGTTTTAGATCTTTCCTTAATTTATCAAACTTCTAAAATTCATAAAGGCTAACCAATGGCTGAATCCTCAAATGAATCAGAAATGGATGCACCTTTTGTCAATGATACGATAGAATCAATGACAGATGAAATTGTAGAAATTTTAGATCTCGACGATAGTGAAAGTAAAGGTCAAATTATTAATGATTTGTTCGAAAACGGTCGACAATCATTGGTTAAATATGAAGAAGATATTATATGCGAAAAATATAAAGATGTAATGAATGGCAGGGAGAACAAAATGATGTGTTTATTAAAAAA